TGTATTGCAGTGTTGCCCACTCGGGATAATTATGAGTGGCAATACTGTATTGCAGTGTTGCCCACTCGGGATAATTATGAGTGGCAATACTGTATTGCAGTGTTGCCCACTCGGGATAATTATGAGTGACAACACTGTATTGCAGTGTTGCCCACTCGGGATAATTATGAGTGGCAATACTGTATTGCAGTGTTGCCCACTCGGGATAATTATGAGTGACAACACTGTATTGCAGTGTTGCCCACTCGGGATAATTATGAGTGGCAATACTGTATTGCAGTGTTGCCCACTCGGGATAATTATGAGTGGCAATACTGTATTGCAGTGTTGCCCACTCGGGATAATTATGAGTGGCAATACTGTATTGCAGTGTTGCCCACTCGGGATAATTATGAGTGACAACACTGTATTGCAGTGTTGCCCACTCGGGATAATTATGAGTGACAACACTGTATTGCAGTGTTGCCCACTCGGGATAATTATGAGTGACAACACTGTATTGCAGTGTTGCCCACTCGGGATAATTATGAGTCACAGCATTGTTCTCTTATGCCCACTCAGGATAATTATGAATAACAACGCTGTTCTCTTATGTCCACTCAGCATAATTATGAGTGACAACACTCTAATGCCCACTCAGGATAATTGTAAGTTACAACACTCTACTCTAATGCCCACTCAGGATGCCTGTGAGTGACAACACTCTACTTTAATGCCCACTCAGGATAGCTGAGTGACAACACCCTAATGCCCTCTCAGGATAACTGTGAGTGACAACACTACTTTTATGCCCTCTCAGGATAACTGAGTAACAACACCCTAATGCCCTCTCAGGATAACTGAGTAACAACACTGTACTCTACACACCAAGGTTCACTCTACAACTAACAGTTCACATCCTGGAGTTGAGTTAATGTCTCCTGGGAAACTTAATACACCTTACATAATTAACTTATATTACCTACTTGCTCTAAATCTTAGTTAATTGGAACTACACCAGCAGTAGCACTCAGCGATGCCGCTAACATGCAATTGCAAAAGCATTTATTTATGATAAGTAAGATACATGTGCAATAGTTAAGTATTTTTATTCGGAAACGTTTCGCCTACACAGTAGGCTTCTTCAGTCGAGTACAGAAGAGTTGTCAGAAGCAGTGAAGATGTAGTCAGTCGATCACCCTCGAAGACGTAGTTATGAGGTGGACAGAACTACGTACTTCTACTAGTGGACTACACCTCACCTTCTGACAGTACATAAGTCACCATACTGTTGCTTCAACTTCACATTGTTTCAGACTGTGGAACAAAACTCTTCTCCAGGGTGAGGGACTGACCACCTCAAGACTACGTCTTCAAGGCTGATGGACTGATTACACCTTCATATCTCTTCTGCTTCTGCTAACCCTTCTGTACTCGACTGAAGAAACCTACTGTGTAGGCGAAACGTTTCGGGGTAAAGATACCTAACTGTTGCACATGTGTCTTACTTATCAACTCGTCGGTATTATAGACTATTTTCAGATTCAGCAATTATTTTTGTATAGTTTTCGCCTTTTTAATCAGTATTATGTACAGAGATATACATTATTTGTTGATATGTTTTTATGTAAAGTGAAATGTGTTTTTCTCAGTCAGCAGTAATGAACACGTACAGTTATTGATATCGTACTTGTGTTAAGGAAACAGTAACCTCTACCTCTCTCTCTCTCTCTCTCTCTCTCTCTCTCTCTCTCTCTCTCTCTCTCTCTCTCTCTCTCTCTCTCTCTCTCTCTCTCTCTCTCTCTCTCTCTCGCTCTCTCTCTCTGTTCGTCGGAAGATGAACATCGCGTTGAACAGCCATCATAGTTTGCGCTGGTCAATTTCTGGATGTATTTTTTTCAATCGCAGTTATTAAAAAATTCAAGTATGTGAAGGAGCCTCAAGAAAGAGTTGGCTGTATCGCCATAAGACCAGTGGATACCACACTGCTATGTGTCTCGGTGCCCTGTAACTCTGAAACCATTCAGTATTAATACCAGTAACACCGACACTCGTGATGAGTAAGACACATATACAACAGTTAGATGTCATTATTTAAACATTTCGCCTACACAGTAGGCTTCCTCAGTCAAATACAGAGGCAGTAGGTATAGAGTTCAGACAATGGAGTTGAACTCTACTCTAGGCTGAGGGACTGACCACCTGTAATAATATTTCTTAATGGACTGATTACACAATCTTTACTTCGGTACTACACCTACTGCCTCTGTATTTGACTGAAGAAGCCTACAGTGTAGGAGAAATGTTTCAACAATAAAGATACTTTTGTACGTGTGTCTTACTCGTCAACTTGTCGACATTATATATCATTTCTAACATAACAATCGCTCTAGTGTCGTTTTCCCTGTGTTATAAACTTGTGGGAGGCAAAGTGTGCCACAAGTACTGCAACACACCAGTGGTTGTTGCTTGCAGCACCCTGCTAGCAACACACCAGTGGTTGTTGCTTGCATCATCCTGCTAGCAACACACCAGTGGTTGTTGCTTGCATCATCCTGCTAGCAACACACCAGTGGTTGTTGCTTGCATCATCCTGCTAGCAACACACCAGTGGTTGTTGCTTGCAGCATCCTGCTAGCAACACACCAGTGGTTGTTGCTTGCATCATCCTGCTAGCAACACACACCAGTGGTTGTTGCTTGCAGCATCCTGCTAGCAACACACCAGTGGTTGTTGCTTGCATCATCCTGCTAGCAACACACACCAGTGGTTGTTGCTTGCAGCATCCTGCTAGCAACACACCAGTGGTTATTGCTTGCATCATCCTGCTAGCAACACACACCAGTGGTTGTTGCTTGCAGCACCCTGCTAGCAACACATACCAGTGATTGTTGCTTGCATCATCCTGCTAGCAACACACACACCAGTGGTTGTTGCTTGCACCACCCTGCTAGCAACACATACCAGTGGTTGTTGCTTGCACCACCCTGCTAGCAACACATACCAGTGGTTGTTGCTTGCACCACCCTGCTAGCAACATATACCAGTGGTCGTTGCTTGCATCACCCTGCTAGCAACACATACCAGTGGTTGTTGCTTGCACCACCCTGCTAGCAACACATACCAGTGGTTGTTGTTTGCAGCACCCTGCTAGCAACACATACCAGTGGTTGTTGCTTGCAGCACCCTGCTAGCAACACATACCAGTGATTGTTGCCTGCATCACCCTGCTAGAAACACACACAAGTAGTTGTTGCTTGCAGCACCCTGCTAGCAACACACACCAATGGTTGTTGCTTGCAGCACCCTGCTAGCAACACACCAGTATTGTCTTGCACACCCTGCTAGCAACACATACCAGTGGTTGTTGCTTGCATCACCCTGCTAGCAACACACACCAGTGATTGTTGCTTGCAGCACCCTGCTAGCAACACACACCAGTGGTTGTTGCTTGCAGCACCCTGTAGCAACACAACCAGTGTTGCTGCTTGCAGCACCCTGCTAGCAACACACACCAGTGGTTGTTGCTTGCAGCACCCTGTAGCAACACACACCAGTGATTGCTTTCTTGCAGCACCCTGCTAGCAACACACACCAGTGGTTGTTGCTTGCAGCACCCTGCTAGCAACACACACCAGTGGTTGTTGCTTGCATCACCCTGCTAGCAACACACACCAGTGTTGTTGCTCTGCAGCACCCTGCTAGCAACACACACCAGTGGTTGTTGCTTGCAGCACCCTGTAGCAACACAACCAGTGGATTGCTGCTTGCAGCACCCTGTAGCAACACACACCAGTAATTGCTGCTTGCAGCACCCTGGTAGCAACACACACCAGTGATTGCTGCTTGCAGCACCCTGGTAGCAACACACACCAGTGGTTGTTGCTTGCAGCACCCTGGTAGCAACACACACCATGATTGCTGCTTGCAGCACCCTGCTAGCAACACACACCAGTGATTGTTGCTTGCAGCACCCTGGTAGCAACACACACCAGTAATTGCTGCTTGCAGCCACCCTGGTAGCAACACACACCAGTGATTGCTCTTGCAGCACCCTGTAGCAACACACACCAGTAATTTGCTCTTGCAGCACCCTGGTAGCAACACACACCAGTAATTGCTGCTTGCAGCACCTGTAGCAACACACACCAGTAATTGCTGCTTGCAGCACCCTGGTAGCAACACACCAGTGATTGCTGCTTGCAGCACCCTGGTAGCAACACACACCAGTGGTTGTTGCTTGCAGCACCCTGGTAGCAACACACACCAGTGATTGCTGCTTGCAGCACCCTGCTAGCAACACACACCAGTGGTTGTTGCTTGCAGCACCCTGGTAGCAACACACATCAGTAATTGCTGCTTGCAGCACCCTGGTAGCAACACACACCAGTAATTGCTGCTTGCAGCACCCTGGTAGCAACACACACCAGTAATTGCTGCTTGCAGCACCCTGGTAGCAACACACACCAGTAATTGCTGCTTGCAGCACCCTGGTAGCAACACACACCAGTGATTGCTGCTTGCAGCACCCTGGTAGCAACACACACCAGTAATTGCTGCTTGCAGCACCCTGCTAGCAACACACACCAGTGGTTGTTGCTTGCAGCACCCTGGTAGCAACACACACACAGTAATTCTGCTTGCAGCACCCTGGTAGCAACACACACCAGTGATTGCTGCTTGCAGCACCCTGGTAGCAACACACACCAGTAATTGCTGCTTGCAGCACCCTGGTAGCAACACACACCAGTAATTGCTGCTTGCAGCACCTGGTAGCAACACACACCAGTATTGCTGCTTGCAGCACCTGGTAGCAACACAACAGTGATTGTGACTTCAGCACCTGCAATACAACACATCACAGAGATTGTGCTTGCAGCACCACTGGTTTGCAACACTACATCAGTAATTGCTGCTTGCAGATCCCTGGTAGCAAACACACCAGTAATTGCTGCTTGCAGCACCTTGGTGGTAGAACATCACCAGTAATTGTGCTTGCAGCACCTGGTTGCAATCACACACCAGTAATTGGTGCTTGCAGCACCCTGGTAGCAACACACACCAGTGATTGCTGCTTGCAGCACCCTGGTAGCAACACACACCAGTAATTGCTGCTTGCAGCAACCTGGTAGCAACACACACCAGTAATTGCTGCTTGCAGCAACCTGCTAGCAACACATAACAGTGGTTGTTACTTTCAACATCTTGCAATAATAACCATTCAATTCAAAGAGTCATTTCATAAGAAACACTCAGGCGAGTTTCCCATTACTTTCTTATTTAAACACAAAAATCCTTGGAGTTAATTTTCTAAACAGTTATTTCCGATAACTGTTGTAGTTAAGGGAGGTCGAGGTCTGTTATATACCGTCATGAGAATAACATATTTGATGGGGTAAAATGTCTTCAGTTGTGACCATACATGGTAGACTGAGGAAATTTTTGAGTTTCATGCCCATTGTCATGCATGGGGGGACTGTGAAGACATCGCATATACGGTGCTGGGAAAACATCTGTAGCTCTGACATCATTCCAAGAAGCAAGTTACAGAACGTCTGTAAGTTTGATGTCTTCACACTTAATAATCATTGACATCTAAGTAGTTCAGCTGACATCATGAACACTGGAATCGGTCTCTTGTTTTAACACTATCACACATGATATGAATGGAGGCACTTGTGGTTTTGATGTTACATTTACTTCCTTAGGAAACGTCTGCAATTGTAACGTCACTACAGTAGTTCTATATCCAGGCTTTAGTCTTGGATACCTCTGTAGCCGTCATGTCATTCTTGTAAGCCTAAATTCACGGTAGGCCTACGCTCAAGCTGTACACTTAGGTACACTTGTGTACCATCACATTCCTTCAGAACACCCTGTCTGTACCTGTAAGAAATTTAGCACCTCAGTTACACATATTTATTTAAAGTTTAATGGAATGTTACTGGAACTGTCGAGAGATTAGTCATTTCTGTATATATGTATTATTTATTTTCATATTTCTATAACAGTTGTTAGGATTATCGTAAAATAATTTTGAATACTAATATATATTCTCATACTGTTATTGCTACATCTATTTTCATAGATAATAACAATGTGTCAGTACTACAAGCATGAATGCTCATGTTTCTACAGGTTCTGCGCGTGCTGCCTCGACTGTTATTCATATGGAAAAGATAATCCGGATTAGTAACTTAGAGGGATAATAAGGATAAAATAAGACAGCTCATCAATGTAGCTTATTTTCATTGGAGTCCTTGTTAGGTCCTCCCCAGGATGCGACTCATAATAGTCGACTAACTCCCTGGTAAGTGTTTGCTACTAAGGGCCATGCCACAAGACGTGTTGGTGTTTACCAAGGTAGACCTGGGTGGGCGTGGTGTGGGCGTGAGTGAGGGCGGCTACCCCAGCAGGAGTCGCCGGATATGAGGGTAGGCGTTGGACTTCATAAATGCGTTGTAGTCCTGGGCGTTGAACAGATCGATCACTGTAAAAGAGGAATTTGTTTTGAGAACATGTCAGAAAGTAAGCACTTAAAACTTTATGAAATGGGAATTTTGTTAACACTTTACGAAGTCACGATTTATATATAAGAATCAGTTTTTAACCAAATTTCCGTATAAGTTTTTTTTCCCATCTATCAACCTACATTAACATGTTTTCCTTTGATCAATGAATTTTGAACTAAAACCTAAATGTTAAGTTAATGACCTCAGTCTATCATCTGGTCAATATGGTGACAGTCGTATTATCTGCTGTCTTGGGGGACAGAAAGAAAAAACACATTTACCATCACACTCCCTTGCTGTCTTTCCAAACGTGAATGGACATGATCAGGTATTATGTTTCTTGGCTAAAATATTTTAGTACAACTGACCAGTCTCTCTATATCCTTTAATGTATGTTACCATGCTCGCACTCTAACAACATGTTAATTCCCTAAAATCATTTGCTTTCACTCACTCCAGTCTAGCACACATACTTGTTGAGTGCTTAAACCTCTATTAAAACCTCTTTCCCACTCTCCTTAGGACTCTTCCTTTGACGTCACATGTACGTCTTTCCAGATATATAAACCCTCCTCATCATGCTTTCTAAATAATCCACAACTCTTCATCTGCTCCCTGAAATATATGTCTTCAATTTCTTAAAATTTAATTTCTCTACATAAAATTCACATTACAAATTAATTTAAGACAAAACATCACCAGTGCCAACAGTTTTCTGCTACTTTCTTTCCAAATACCTAAATTCATTCACTTTTCCTGTTCTAACTCCAGTTTGATGTCTTAGTCTTTCTGTATCGTAGATTTCTTCCTACTCTTACTACTTCACATTTTACTTTGTTAAAATTTAGTTCTTTTCCACAACTTTTGAAGTTCTCTGCCAACATCTGCCAATTTTCTTCTGAGTATACCAAAGACACTGTATCATCAGCAAAAAACAACTGTGTCGTTTCTTAAATTATATTGTATTCATTCTTTCATCACTCAAACATCCATTTCGTTTACAATGCAATTTATAAACTCACTGAACAGCCACATCCTGGTCTAAGTTATAATTTTATGGAAAATATTCCGCTTCTTTAGCTTACAGTATTTTGTTAGGGAATTCTTAATTTCTCTTATTAATAGGGGACCAATGTGGCAGATGTTGCAAGTATATGGAATAGGTGGTAAGTTACTAAATGCTGTAAAGAGTTTTTATGAGGATAGTGAGGCTCAGGTTAGGGTGTGTAGAAGAGAGGGAGACTACTTCTCGGTAAAAGTAGGTCTTAGACAGGGATGTGTAATGTTACCATGGTTGTTTAATATATTTATAGATGGAGTTGTAAAAGAAGTAAATGCTAGGGTGTTCGGAAGAGAGGTGGGATTAAAGTAGAAAGTTGAAAGTGAACATAGAAAAGAGTAAGGTGATGAGAGTATCAAATGATTTAGATAAAGAAAAATTGGATATCAAATTGGGGAGTAGGAGTATGGAAGAAGTGAATGTTTTCAGATATTTGGGAGTTGACGTGTCAGCGGATGGAGTTATGAAGGATGAGGTTAATCATAGAGGGAAAAACGTGAGTGGAATGTATGAATGTATGAGTGGAATGTATGAAAGTATAGTGGTACCAACACTCTTACATGGGTGTGAAGCTTGGGTTGTAAATGCAGCAGCGAGGAGGCGGTTGGAGGCAGTGGTGATGTCCTGTCTAAGGGCAATGTGTGGTGTAAATATTATGCAGAAAATTCGGAGTGTGGAAATTAGGAGAAGGTGTGGAGTTAATAAAAGTATTAGTCAGAGGGCTGAAGAGGGGTTGTTGAGGTGGTTTGGTCATTTAGAGAGAATGGATCAAAGTAGAATGACATGGAGAGCGTATAAATCTTTAGGGGAAGGAAGGCGGGGAAGGGGTCGTCCTCGAAAGGGTTGGATGGAGGGGGTGAAGAAGGTTTTGTGGGAGAGGGGCTTGGACTTCCAGTAAGCGTGTGTGAGCGTGTTAGATAGGAGTGAATGGAGACGAATGGTATTTGGAACCTGACGATCTCTTGGAGTGTGAGCAGGGTAATATTTAGTGAAGGGATTCAGGGAAACCGGTTATTTTATATAGCCGGACTTGAGTCCTGTAAATGGGAAGCACAATGCCTGCACTCTAAAGGAGGGTTTTGGGATATTGGCAGTTTGGAGGGATATGTCATGTATTTTTATACGTATATACTTCTAAACTGTTGTATTCTGAGCACCTCTGCAAAAACAGTGATTATGTGTGAGTGAGGTGAAAGTGTTGAATGATGATGAAAGTATTTTCTTTTTGGGGATTTTCTTTCTTTTTGGTTCACTCTGCCTCCATAACTTGACCTCATTCGCCTTCAAAGTAATTTACAAATTTTAACATCTTACATATTCCATTGAACTGCAACACCTGCAACACCTTTTTTTAAATAAATTTATACAACAAACAAATCTATTACTCATACGTTTCAATGCAAACACATGATCCACACATTCCCTTTTAATCCTTAATTATCTTAGTTCCTCTACAGTCCTGCTTTCTGTCCTTCCTCTTTTGATAACAATTCCACCATCCATTGTACCCGATATAATCAACAGACTTATTCCTCATTAATTCTTTACCCATTCTTTACTTATTTTTCTTTTCTTCTATATAGGAACAATGCTGGTCTACTAATTCTTAAATATCCTTCCTTCTTCCCCACTGTTATATCTGCTATGGCTGTGCTTACTTCTACACTCCACTAAACAGTAAAGTCTGAGGCTGCTACAGTGAAAAGCTCTGTTCCACAAGGCACAGTACTCGCCCTCATCCTGCTCCTCATCCTCATGTCTGACACAGACAGAAATGTAAGCCACAGTACCGTGTTTTCCTTTGCAGATGACACCCAAATTGCCCTGACAGTGACCTCCATCGAGGACACTGCAAGACTACAAGCGGTCATCAACCAAATCTTCAAATGGGCAGTAGAAAATAATATGAAGGTCAATGAAGAGAAATTTCAACTACTCATGGAAAACATGAAGAAATTAAAACTGTATCAGAGTATACAACAAGTTCTAACAATACAACAGAGCGAAAAAATAACGTGAAGGACCTGGGAGTGATAATGTCAGAGGATCTCACCTTCAAAGAGCACAGTAATGTATCTACCGCATCTGCTAGGAAAATGATAGGATGGATAATGAGAACTTTCAAAACTAGGGATGCCAAGCCCATAATTCTCTTCATACCGCTTGTTCTTTCTAGGTTGGAATACTGCTGTACACTAACTGCTCCCTTCAATACAGGTGAAACTGCTAACCTGGAAAGTGTACAAAAAACTTTCACGGTACACATAAGCACAATAAAGCACCTAAATTACTGGGAACGGTTGAAGTCCCTTGATTTGTATTCCCTGGAAAGCAGGAAAGAAAGATACACGATAATATACACTTGGAAAATCCTAGAGGCATTGGTACCAAACTTGCACACGAAAATCACTCCCTATTAAAGCAGACTCGGCAGGAGATGCAATTTTCCCCCAGTGAAAAGCAGGGGCGCCACGAGTACACTGATAGACAATACAATAAGTGTCAGGGGCCCAAGACTGTTCAACCGCCTCTCAGCATACATAAGGGGGATTACCAATAGACCCCTGGCTGTCTTCAAGAAGGCACTGGACAGGCACCTATAGTCAGTACCATACCAGCCAGGATGTGGCTCGTACGTCAGTTTGCGTGTAGCCAGCAGTAACAGCCTGATTGATCAGACCATGTAGTATGTCAGTAGTATGTCATTGAAGTCAGCTAGGCCTGTATACCTTGTACACGTACTTGTAGAAATTATTATGCGAGATAAAGGTTACATACCGGAGTTAAAGGTAGGCCTATGTGAGTTAAAGGTTGACCTATGTTACAAGTAAGGCTATTGGAGTTAAAGGTTTGATAGACCAATCTTTAATTCACACCGGCCTATTTGAGTTAAAAGTAAACCTATGTGACTAGAAGGTTAAAAGTAGGACTACTAGAGTAAAAAGTGATGGCTACCTAGGTAGGCCTACTGCATTTATAGGTAGGCCTACCAGAGTTAAAGGTAGAGTTATCAGAGTTAGGTCTACCAGAGTTAAAACTAGGCCTACCAGAGTTAAAGGTAGGCCTACCAGAGCTAAAGTTAGGCCTACCAGAGTTAAAGTTAGGCCTACCAGACTTAAAGGTAGGCCTACCATAATTAAAGCTAGGCCTACGAGAGTTAAAGCTAGGCCTACCAGAGCTAAAGCTAGGCCTACCAGAGTTAAGATGGGTGTACAACAGTTATTCTGAGTTTAATGCAATGCTGGTATGTTTAGCGTGACTATACTGAGTCACGGTGAAGCTACTGTGAAGTGTCACAGGTAGGTGAAGCAACTGTGAAGTATCACAGGTAGGTGAAACTACTGTGAAGTGTCACAGGTAGGTGAAGCTACTGTGAAGTATCACAGGTAGGTGAAACTACTGTGAAGTGTCACAGGTAGGTGAAGCTACTGTGAAGTGTCACAGGTAGGTGAAGCTACTGTGAAGTATCACAGGTAGATGAAGCTACTGTGAAGTGTCACAGGTAGGTGAAGCTACTGTGAAGTGTCACAGGTAGGTGAAGCTACTGTGAAGTGTCACAGGTAGGTGAAGGTACTGTGAAGTGATACAGGTAGGTGAAGCCACTGTGAAGTGATACAGGTAGGTGAAGCTACTGTGAAGTGTCACAGGTAGGTGAAGCTACTGTGAAGTGTCACAGGTAGATGAAGCTACTGTGAAGTGTCACAGGTAGGTGAAGCTACTGTGAAGTGTCACAGGTAGGTGAAGCTACTGTGAAGTATCACAGGTAGATGAAGCTACTGTGAAGTGTCACAGGTAGGTGAAGCTACTGTGAAGTGTCACAGGTAGGTGAAGCTACTGTGAAGTGTCACAGGTAGGTGAAGCTACTGTGAAGTGTCACAGGTAGGTGAAGCTACTGTGAAGTGATACAGGTAGGTGAAG